AAAAAATAATAGATAATGATCGCTCAAGAGCGGTATTTATGTTAAGAAGGCATACTCTCCCAATCCAGAACACTGATAAACGGCATAATTATCAGAGCACTCACATTCGAGCCCCACAAAGTTCTTGCTACGCATGGCATTCACAAAAATGAAGTCGGAATAAGGTGTTCGCTCCAAAACAACACCCTGACCTAAACGAAAAACTTCTAATTAACCTTTAACCTTTTTTTCTTAGAAAGATATGTACTAAGCAATTAGAGCAAGTAAGTGCTACACTCCCAATCAAAATGATCAAGAAAAATGGGACACTTTTGCGACTGATCGCTATAATTATTTTATAGCGATAACAAAACAATGAACGTGCGAACTAACAAGAATAATTTCTACATTATAAATTTTGCAAAAAAAATATCTTATTTTTGCCGAATCTTTTTTAGATCTGATGATTCATTTGAGGAGCTAGCTTGAACTTAAAGCTGCAAAAATGATTTTTTTTCTTTTTTTAAGCTAGTTGCGACATAAAGATGTAGGCTTTTTTCTGGTTGGAGAGACAGTATTCAAACAAATTTTCGAATCCGAGTTCTACCCTTTTCTAAACCACTCTAAGGTGCTGAACGCGAATATCAACAATTACTAAAATCAAGAAAATTTCAGGCCCTTTCTGTTCTGGACTGACGCAGACAGACAGCGAAAGGATAAATAGTAATGATGGCTTCCCCCAAACAATTTGGTTTTCTCGCTAAAGATCAATGCTGGTGGGAGTAGCCAAACTCCGGCAATGCTGAGGGAAACGCGCTGTGGCCGGGCTGATCTAAAGGTCTGCAACGATTTTCTCTCTTACTACGGCGAACTACCCGTCTGAATCTTAAACTAACTTGGTTGGAGAATCAACTGCCAAAATCTACAAAAATTCGAGATCCTGGGAATTGCCCAGAACTGTTTTAACGCACTATGATAGTGCCAAAAGATAGTTCTGAAAAAGCTCTAAATTCATCTGACAGGCGGAGTCCACATTTGATAACCATTTTACCCAGCAAGGCAATGTAATGAAGTTGAATTATCACAGCGCCAAAGCCCCTCCGACTTCAGCATAATGAAAAGGTATACGATGAGTTCATAGACAGAGATTTATGCTTTATCTAAATCTTTCAAATGAATCCCGGAAATCTTAGAAAGACTTGGTAAAAGTGTTGCTAATGTTCAAATGTATACATTTCCCTGAGACACTCTGTATTCTGAAACCTTGAACATTTACACAAGTATTTTCTAAAAAGAAATCTCTGGACAACAGCAAGATAAAACTAACAAACCCGTATTCAGAATGTGCGCTACTGCATTCAAATACTGATCAAAACGGCACTCAAAAATCCGCTGCTGCATCTTCGCCGACATATCGCTCAAAGGGTTTTTGTAGAACATATTCATATCAGGCATTCGAAAACTTTCTGGGAACTGAAAACGAAGGCCGATTATTGGTTGTTAATTGAAATAATTTACTAACTAGATGGTAAAAGTTCCTCAAATCGTTCCCATATCGGTCTATAAGTACATCCTCCATTTTGAATTCTGGCATATAGTAGAATCCAAGTTGATCGGCTAGTTCCGCCGAAAGTTTGCTCTGAAATCACATAAAGATAGCCTTCAAAAATGAAATCAAAGCATAAATAGCAGAACAGCACCTTTCCTACTCCAATATTTCCTTCCACAACAATCAGCTTGGAGTTTTGATGAAATCGAGATTGTGTTCGGTCAGTAAGCGCATCAACGTAATTATAGCCTCTTTCTTTGTAAGGCCATGGATCCGGATATTCTGGCGGGAGTCTAAAAAACCTTAGGAAGTGTTGACATGCACATATAAGTCAATGTTGACAAAATTATCATTATATATATAAACATATAT